TAAAGGCATTTTTCACAGAAATAGAAGAAGCAATCCTAAAATGTGTTTGTAATCACAAAAGAATCCAAATAGTCAAAGAAATCCTGAGAAAGAAGAACAAAGCTAGAGGCATCATGCTTCAAGGTTTCAAACTTCCTCTATTACAAAGAGTGGAATGTAATCAATGAAATTTACAGTGGCATCACGACACACGCAGCTCAACAGAACAGAGAGCCTAGAAATAAACTCATGCATTTAAGGTCAGATAGTTTATGACAAAGAAATAAAAAGAAAGAGCCACAGTGAGGGAGGGAGGTCAAGTCTCTTCAATACAGTGGTATGGAAACTGGACAGCCATACAAAAGAATGATCTAGACACTTATTATCTACACACAGCACTGCAGAAAATAACACAAAATGGGCCCAGAAAGGGTACGAAAACATAAAACTCCTGGAAGGCTAGGGGGATAAGTTCATGACATTGATCTTGTAATTATTTTTTGTAAAATTCACACAAAGAAAACAAAAGGCAACCCCAGGCAATAAACAAATTAGGGACTGCATTAAAACCAACTACTTCTACTACTGCACAATAAAGGGAAATAATCACAAACTGATGATGATGATACAGCCCCTAATAATGGTGGGAGAAGTATTTACAAATCCATATATGTACTTATGCCTCTAATCATCTGATAAAAGAGCTCATCAAAAATATATTTTAAAAACTCTCTCACTATAAATTCAGTAACAACAATGGCAAAGCCCAATCTGAGACTGTACATGGGCAGACAGGTGATCTGAACCAGACATGCATTGTTTCTAAGCAACAAAAGAAACTTACAGGTGTTAAAAGGCACATGAAAGAAGATATCAACTTAACTTATCATCCAGAGAAATGAATCAAGAGCTACAAATAAGATGTTACTTGATGCTTTTGCCCAGAATTTTATGGCTTCATCACAAAAGAAAGAAAAAAAAAAAAAAATGTGGTAGGGATATGGAGAAAGGGAGCATTTCTGCCCTGATATTAATTAAGGATATAAGGTTAAGTTGCAATACTATGGCATGGCATGGCATGGCGGCATGGAGGTTTCTCAAATAATTAACAAGACATACGATCCCATTAAGTTCCATGGGTATTTATCCTGAAGGAAGAGAAGGAAAACACTAACTTCTGAAAAGGACATATATGTACTTATATTCCGCACACCAGCATTATTACAATGATCAAACTGGCAGTAATCTAAATTAACCATTACTGGACAATTCACTTAAGAAACTAAATTATTGTATTCAGCCAATGAAAATGTTGCCATTTTAGTGATGATGACATGGATATAGACTTGAGAGGCACAAAACTAAGTGAAATAAATCGAACGAAGAAAACTAAATATCTTACATGAGCTGTTGGAATCTAAAGAAAATACCAAACTCTTAGATAAAAGAGAACAAGAGTGGAGGTTGCCAGAGGCAGGGGCCTGAAGAGCTTGAAAGCAGGTCAGGGGAGGTGAAAAGTACAAACTACAATGTAATAAAACATAATAATAAAATAGAGGATGCTAAGGTACAAGACAGCATAGTGAAAGATTATTAATACCGCATTGTATATTTGAGGATTTTCTGCAGAAGAGAGTAAGATCTTAAAATTGCTTCCACAAGAAAAAAACACATATTAACGATGGTGATGATTTAACTACAATTGTTTGATCATTCCACAATATATAAAAAGTATCAAATCATAAAATATTTGCACATTTTGAAACAATGTTATATGTATGGAATTATATCTCAATCAATCATTCAGTATTTTTTATTATGAACTGTTTTACGTATTAAGGTCTGTTTCATATTGACCTGGTCTTTTGATTTGAAAATTCATTTTGGAATTATCCTAGAATTAATATAGGCCACTTGACCTACTTTTTGTATATCATAATGTATTCCATATATTATCCAACCAAGTGCCATTTACTTGCCTGTACAACCATTGTTATCATAAAGAGAAGGGGATAGAACTAGAGACAAAAAATACACTGGAAGAGTAGAGAAACATTCCCCAGGAAAGAACAGTACTCTGTTGAATTGAATGGAATTTTTTGTTATGGATGGTTTTTTGGAAAATTCTACAGTGTCTTTTTCTCCCTTCTAAAAGAAGGGAACCCTAATTCTCCTCCCTTACAAGGTATGCAGGACTTGAGACCCACTTTACAAAATCTAGATATCTATGGCTAAAGTGACAGTATGTATTGACTATTTTTTTGTAAATAGTGCAGGAAGCTTCTACACATCTCTATCGAATCCTTGAGGCCTCTGTGGAGGAGAGAGTTAGCTGCCATTAGTGAAGCCCTATGGAAATTCCCATGTGTGAGAGATTGCACAAGCTTCTGCCAAAAAGCCTTATGATAGTCGGCGTCTTGGGAAGGAAGCTGAATCCTCCGGCCCCACCCGACCGTGACTGCAGCCCTAAGGTCAGCATCACAAGCAACACAGAAGTGCCTGGCTCCGAGCCCAGCTAGCTAAGCCCTCCCAAATTCCTGACCCATAGGAAACTCTGAGAGAGAATACAAAGGTGTGGTTTTGAAACCAATATGTTTTGAAATCATTTTTTTACAGAAATAAAGAACTAATATGTAGTGTTCAGGCACTATTGCCACCCAAATGTTTATTTATTTATTTAATTTATTTGATTGTACAACTTTACTCTCATAATTGTGGTAAGCTGACAAGAAACAACCAAGATGTCTACCAGTATACGAATCTAATGAAGAAACCGTGATATATCCAGGCAATGGAGTATCATTTACAGCCAGAAGAAATGACCTCTCATATCATGAAAAGACTTGGAGGAATCAAAAAAGCTATTTCTCAGCATTAAAAAAAAAATCTACCTGAGGCACACAGGGTGAGCTCAGTGGGTTAAGCCAACTAATTTCCGGCTCTGGAGTCGCTGATCTGCATTACTGGACAGTTCGAGGCCCCCCACACATTGGGATCTGTGCTGACAGCTCAGAGCCTGGAGCCTGCTTCGGATTCTGTGTCTCCCTTTCTCTCTGCCCCTCCCCAGCTCACGCTCTGTCTCTCTTTCCCTCAAAAATAAATAAACATTAAAAAAATTTTTTTTAAAAATCTGAAAATGCTACAGGATGCATGAGCCCCACTGTATGACATTCTGGTTGCAGAGAATGAGCAAGGGGAGGAATCAATAGGTGGAGCACAGAGGATTTTTAGGGCAGTGAAAAGCTCTGTATGATACCATAATGATGGACATGTCACTATACAAACTTGACATATACATATGTCACTTGTCCAAACCTGTAGAATGTACATCAAGAGTGAACTCTAAGATAAACTACTGACTTTGGGTAATATGATGGATGAATGCAGATTCATCATTGTAAAAACATACCTTTTGGGATGGGGGGATGTTGATAAATGGGGAAGGTATGCATGTGTGGCAACACTGAGTGTATAGGAAGTTTCTGTACCTTCCTGTCAATTTTGCTGTGAACGTAAAATTGCTTTAGGTAAGTTATTTGTTTCAAGTTTTAATTTAAATTCCAGTTTGTTCACATTTAGTGTAATAGTAGTTTCAGGAGTAGAATTTAGGGATTCATCACTTACATATAACACCCAGTGGTCATGAACACACGTGCCCTATTTAATACTCATCACTTATTTAACCCGTAACCCTCCTCCCCCGCCTACCTCACCTCCAGCAACCCTCAGTTTGTTCTCTATAGTTATGTGTCTCTTTTATGTATTGCCTCTATTTCCTCCCATGTTCATCTGTTTCATTTCTTAAATTCCACATATGAATGAAATCGTATGGTATTTGTCTTTCTCTGACTTATTTCACTTAGCATAATATATTCTAGCTCCATCCATGTCATTGCAAACGGCAAGATTTTATTGTTTTTGATGGATGAGGAATTTTCCAGAGTAAATATATACCAGAAGTTCTTTATCCATTCATCAGCTGATGGACATTTGGGCTTTTTCCATACTTTGGCTATTGTTGATAATGCTGCATTGGGGTGCATGTATCCCTTTGAATCACTATTTTTGTATCCTTTGAGCAAATACCTAGTAGTGTAATTGCTTGACTTAAAAAAAAAATTTTTTTTAATCTTTATTATTTATTTTTGAGAGAGAGAGAGACAGTGTGAGCAGGGGAGGGACAGAGAGAGAGGGAGACACAGAATCCGAAGCAGCTCCAGGCTCTGAGCTGTCAGCACAGAGCCCGATATGGGGCTCGAACTCATGAAACGCAGGATCATGACCTGAGCTGAAGTGGGAAGCTTAACTGACTGAACCACCCAGGCGCCCCTGACTTTTTGAGGAACCTCCATACTGTTTCCCAGGGGGGCTGCACCCGTTTCATTTTCCACCAACAACGTAAGAGGTTTACCCTTTCTCTTTAACCTCACCAACATCTGTTGTTTCCTGTGTTGTTAGTTTTAGCCATTTTGACAGGTATGAGGTGATATGTTATTTTATTCTGATTTGTATTTCCCTGATGATGTATGATGTTGAGCATCTTTTCATGTGTCTGTTAGCCATCTGGATGTCTTTTTTGCAAACATCTATAAATAACTTCTCAAACTTAACACACAAAAAACAAATAATCCAGTTAAGAAATGGGCAAAGGACATGAATAGACATTTTCCAAAGAAGACATCCAGGTGGCTAACAGACACATGAAAAGATGGTCAATAACACTCACCATCAGGGAAATACAAATCAAATGGTTTAATTCAGATATTAGAATTACATTAGAGAAATTCATAAACACATATTTAATACCAAATAGCAAAAATTAAATAGCTTTTAATTTTCAAAAATGTGGCTTAGATTGTATTAGAATTATCTACTTTGAAAAGAAAAGAATGTCTCTGTAGGCTCTGCTTTATATACACAGTAAGGCAAATACTTGGATTTACTGTGTACTCATTTTTGTTGTTGTTAAAGAGACAATAATTTCAGAATTTAGAAGTAGGTCAAGATAGAATGGAACTTACTAGTACATCCTGGCTGAGGTACCCAGCCTCTACTCGTACATGTTGCCATATTTCCTTGGGTTGAACGATCAAAGCCAGTTTTACAATTGTATGTGATTTCATCTCCACTTCTGTATCTGATGCTTTCTGGTGCATAGTTACCATTTTCAATGTGAGGAGAAGCACATATGATTTCTGGGAAAAAAAAAGAATATGTAGGTAATGTTGAAATCACTACCCATTAAAATAATCAAGTACATAAAAATATAGAAAGTGGGTATTATTATTTTTTGTCCCTACCACAGCATAAAATGGGATTAATGTGAGTTTAGTCTTATATCCTTCCCATCATATCATTCATGTCCCACCACTATATCTCACATCTGATATATTTGTGCCCCCTGGACTCTTGAATCCTTTCTCCAAAGCCATCACATATATCATAATATTCTATATGTGGCAATAAACTCATGACATATCACTTCAACTCTTCTTACAAACTATTCAACTTCCCTGGCATCTGTGATTCTCCTAGGACTGTTTACAAACGGCTTGAGTCTCTTCCTTCCAGACACTTAGTAGGATTTCATATCCCTGCCAAGAATTAAATGTGGTCTTCTGATTTACACAGTCAAGAAAATGAGTAAAGTAACACGTTTCCCTTTAGGGAGGAAGTTTTAAAAAGCCACTGTGAATTTTTATGTTCTTTTTTCTAGCTGCAGAGATTAAGGACAGCCATGGAGAGGTGATGTCTCTACCCTTGATTCTTACAGCTACTATAATGAGCAGAGTCCCTTCAGACCTACATTGGAAGTGAGCATAAACAGGAAATAAACTTCAGTTTTTTAGGCTATTGAAATTCTGGAATACATTTTTATTAGTATAATAGAATAAACTAGTCCAGGGTTTGGAGAAAACCTTTTATGTAAAGAACCAGATAAAAGGTTTCTGTCCCAGCTACTCAACACGAACACAGCCCTAAAAGACACATAAACAAATGAGCATGGCTGTATTCCAATAAAACTTTGTTTACACAAAGGGCAAAGGATGGATTTGATTTTCAGACTATAATGTGCTCTCCCATGACCTACTCTGTCTTAATTTGTAAAGTTCTGTCTCAGTTCTTTCCATCAACTTTGCTAATATCTAGCCAATGGATCAATCTGCAAAATTCCTTGTATAATAAAATATCATGCCTTTAAACTATTGAAGAAATGTTACATAACCATTTATATTAGTGCCATGGTGGACATTCAGCAATGCCAAAAATCCATTTATATGCCCCCAATTTACTTCCTATTCCATTTCCCAAAGTAACTTTCATCACAGTCTCATCATTTTCTTCAAAAGCCATCTAACACAATAGTTCCGTCATCAACAAATAAATCCTTGCATTCACACATAACAAATTTCAGACTACTAGCTGTGGGTTCCCTAGATTTCTTACTAACACGTCCTTAACTGTGGCTACATCTGTTTGAACTTTAGCCTTTCTCTTACTTGTTGACGATGAGATGTTTATTTCATTCAAGTTAGCTTTTCAAAAGTTAATTCTTCCATCGAGCATGAACCATTGTATATTCCTTCCCTCTCTCATTTTGTCTACTATTCTCTCTTAAATGGATATGCAAGCTTCTCCAATTTTAAATTCCTTATCTCATCCCTTTTTCCAAGGTTGTTAATGTACTATACTTCTCTCCTTCACAGCCAAGATCCTTCAAATATCATCTTCCAATTAGTCTGGTTTTCAATCTCCCACTTATTCTTCAACCTACTGCTATCTGGCTTTTGACATCTTTAACATGCTGGTGCTATTAAGACAAAAGTCACCAATGTCCTCCAATTTCCAAATCCAAAATCTCTATGAATTGCTCATATCACAGTGACTGGTATTATATACTATGGGCTCCTTAATTATTTGTTGAACTGAATAGATAAAAACCCTCTGTAATATTCGACACTGTTGATCACTGACTTACTGGCATTCTCCAATGCCCTGCATTCTTATGTTTTCCTACTTCTCCTTATTTTTGTCTGAACAGTACTATTTTATTTTATTTATTTTACTTAGAGCTGCCCTCCTTCCTCTGCTCTACTTAATTTTAGGCCCTGTCTACTTCTCAGATCTCATCTCCTACCAAGGTCCCACTTACTCTATACGACCAACACAATAGCCTTCTTTCTGGTGTTCACACATGCCAGGCTTATTTATATCACTTGCACTTTTTATTCCTTATTTCTTGGGTGATGCTCCTCTAGATCTTCCGGCTGACTCTTATCACCACCTCAGAAATATCTTCCCTGAAGACCCAACGAGTATTGTATGAATGAATATCTATGCTTTACAGTTGGTTCTACATGAGTATTTGTCCTTGATTTTGTTGTTTGCTTCTTCACATTTTCTCTGTGAATCAAGATACTTCCACAATAAAAAGCTATCAGCATTATGCTAATAACTCTTCAGTGAGATCCAAATCCATATATCCAACGGAAGCTTCACACTAGACAGGTCCATGTGAATAATTCAAAGGCATATCCAACTAATTACATGCCAACTAAATCAACCTTTTCTCAAAATATGCTTTTCCTCCTGTGTTCAACATTTTAATTTGTGACACAAAAACCTCATGACAGGAGCCTGGAAATTTACCTCACCTTCCCTCCTCCCCATCACTTCAATGTTCATTCACACAGCACATTCTATAATCTTATAATTATTGCTTAAACATCTCCTCCCCTTCATACCATGCTTCCACTGTGTACATCCAACTCTTAGAGGTTTTATGATAGTCTTTTAATTGGTCTTAAATTTGTACTTCATTCCTCCAGAATAAGCTTTAATAAGTCTCTTTTCTAAACATGATACTATACTTATATTAGCAATGGTTATATTAGAAAGAATATGTGACCATCTAACCACAAATCTTAAGTATGTCTACATTGCTTGATTTTAATTGACACTACCTTGAGATGAGCCTTAATGTACCTTAAATGTAACCTTAAATTTACTTTTAGTTTTTTCTCCTCACTTTATTCTGCTCTATCATATTTTCACAGACCTTTGCAGTGGAGTTTATCATATATTAATTTTTACTTCATAGTGTGGCTTAATTTTGAAGTCAAAAGCTACAAGATATAAAAACAAGAGTTTTACTAAGAGGCCAAACAAAAAATACTGGGAGAATTTGTTAAATAATTTTTAATAAATTTGTAATAATAATTTTGTTAAAATAATTAAAATAGAAGAACTTCAGGTGATTACTTTTGAGCAGAAGACATAAATTCAATGATAAATTGTAACCCCTACTTTCATAATTTCCATTAAAATAAATGATGCTAGTAAAA